ATCAAACTCTCTGATAAAGCTCATGAGAGATGTAATGCGTAGCAGAATTTCTCTGCAGATTGTTTTTGTTTTCTTGGTTTGGGTTTTTTTTTGGCTTGTAGGTCAAGCAATGTTCAGATATAAGAAAGTAAAAGTTAAATTGATAACCGGCTCCACAGAAATGAATTAAACCGGTTGGTTTAAAATTGCCCCGGTTAAGCCGACTCGCATTTTTGCGTATATAAAAACACTCCAGTGATCGTCTCTTTCCCTTAACTTTACTTCTCTCTTTCTTTTGGCATTGAAAGCTTTTTTTACAGTTAGAGAAAAGAAGAGATGACTCTAACAATGGCGGAAACCCTAGAAACTCTAATCGACAACACTCAAGAACCCGATTACTCCTACGATCCCGAAGAAGATGACATTGATCTCTCTCTCCTTCGTCTCAACAGCTTCGGAAACTCCTCCGATCATCATCGCCGCCGTGCGAATTCCTCTCCTCCGCAGTTTCAATCGTACGGATCTTTCGGTTCTTCTTCAACCGCCGCTACAAGTCCCGTGAAACGTCCATCGCCGGAGTCGAAAGAAGCCACCGACGAGCCCAGACGGAAGAAACTGTTTCTTCCACGACCTGAAGAAGAAGACGAGAAGATGTCTAATCTCATGGGATATTCGAAACTTCCGCTTCCTATGAATCTCAATCCGAATCGAATCCGTTCTTCTCCTGTTTACCGGCGATCTCTCTCCGATACATTTGCTTCTCCCGTCGGATCTACATTCGGGTCGGGTTATACCCGTAACGGCGTCGCTCAGGAATCAACACCGTCGGGTTGTAATCTCGTCCCTTCTCTCCCGCCACGTCCACCGATTTTCCGGAGATCTGTCTCCGATGTTTCTCCGGCACCGTCAAAGACTCTTTTCGGATCTTCTCGACCCAGTGCGATTCCTGAAGCTGATCTTGTTAATCCAGGAAGCTCTGAAGCCAATAAGGTTCGTAGATTCTATATCCATGTTCTGTGAATCTTGCCATTGTTAATCGTTTGAGTAAATCTTGACATGGGAATTAGGGAATCTGATACATGTGTTGTTGTTCTGTTCATGTTATCAGATGTTGTATGTGATTAAAGATGGAGTTCGTGAATTGGATCAGTGGTGTAACAAGCTCTTAAAGTACGGTGAATCAGTTTCTTCTGTGAAACAAGATGATAGTTCTAAGGTTCGAATCTAATCAAACAATCTTTGTGAACATTCTCAACTATTTGGGACGTTCTTGGTGGTTCACTGTTTCTCTTATAATCTCTGAATCAAAGTTTCTGTTTTTAGGGATCAATGCAGGAAGAAGATGAGACGACGCAAGAGGAGGAGCAGCAGAAAGAGTGTAAAGAAGGTGTTAAGGTGGATAGAGTCGGCGAGGCGTTTGTGGTTGAGATTAACTGTCCTTGTGGAAGGAACTACCGAACGCTCTTCTCGGGTCGTGACTGCTACTACAAGCTCTTGTAGAGAATGGTTTGACATTTCACATTCTTTTGATCATCACTATTAGTTGAAGGAAGGATCTCTCATTGGTGCTCTGCAAATTCATTACATAGCTTCTGTAGATAAGACTGCATACTACACAGACTGTTTCGTGCTTCGTAGATACTAGCTATACACATTGTTCAATATTTGTCATATATACTCTTTGTTGATTCGCTTAGTTGATATACTCTTAAAAATGCCTTCATTCATTGATTCTTTTTGTGTTTGATTCGTAACACTTGGTAGCTTTTATTCAGTAATTTTGTAAAAATCGGTCTGGACCGCTTAAACCGTGACCCGGTCTGGGTTATCTAGACCAGCATGTTTGAAAGGGAAAAAAAAAAAACCAACTTTGAAATCTTAACCAAAGCAAAGGTGAGAGAAGTTTGTATTATGATTGAATCTGCGGCCGAAATGGCTTGAAAAACTTGGGAACTTTTATCAGTGTTGTAAACATCGGGCCGGACCGCTTGAACCGTGACCCGGTCTGGGTTTTATCTAGACCGCCACGTTTGTAACCCAAAAGAAGATTAGAAAAAAACCCACGTGCGTGTATAATAGCCTAATTCAAAACCGTTAAGGATATATATGCGTGTATCTATCATCATAAGTTCATAAATTGTGACAAAAAAAAAAAAAAATTTCGTAAATCAAAACTCAAAACTCTTAAGTATATATATCAAAGACCCTAAAGCCTAAGCGTTGTTTGTGTTAGTTTCAAGGAGAAAATATGTTGACACGGCTTTTGTTAATTGTCAGTTCAATGCAAATTGCGTATGAGGTAGTGAGACTGTTGAGACCAAAACCCCGACGACGAATTGTGAAGAAGATATAGGCCAAAAGTTGTTGGAAAACTGGAGGTGAAGATAGGATCAGTGCGTTACCAGACGATTTGCTCGTGCATATATTGACGTTTCTCCCAACAAAACGTGTTGTGACCAGGCCGGCCCTGCGCCAAAAAAACTTTTTGGTAAAATTTTAGGGCCTTTTTATAAATTTACAAAAATATAGGACCTTTTTACGAATTTTATAACAATTTGGGGCTTTTTTGCAAAAAAATTTTGCCTACAATTGTGGGACCCTGTGCAAAAGCACTAGCCGCACACCATCATGACCGGCCTGGTTGTGACTACCATGATTTTGTCAAAACGATGGCGGTTTGTTTGGACGATGGTGCCACAACTCGTGTACAAAGAGATCAAGTATGTTACTCGCAAAATAGTTCTCCTTGGCGGTTTAATTGACCGTTTATTTGGTAAAAGATATAAGAAACGCCAATCTATTTGGCGGTTTCTTGAGGGGTCATTACAAGTCCACACGGCATATGTTTTAGACACACTAATCATCGAACTCGGTCCACTATGTCCGGTTGATGTTGATGTGGGAGAGTGTATTGCAAATGCGTTTAAGCGTCGGGTGTGCAAGCTAGCATTCGGGCTCATGTGGTCCGCGGAGCCTACTAGCTTGCCGAATAGCCTTTACACATGTGATAGGCTTTACTTCTGAAATAACCAGGGACCTCTAAAACATAGCACTTTGAGATATTTTAGTAAACTTCAGGTAAAATACACAACAATCAAAAGATAACCTTATCTTTTATTCAGAAATACTCATAGAAATACCTGATTATGATCCCTCTCAAATCTTTGAGTTCAACAAGAATTTTTCTCTCTTTTTATTTTCTGAAAGGCTAACCATAAAAGAAAGCTCTCTGCTTCTCTTTTATGGTACTTCACACATTGCTACATTAGAGCCGACAGCTACAATGTCACGCGCCTGACACACCTTCTCCAAAGGACAAGTCCACCATGTCTCTGATGATGACTTGTGTAGCCTCCACCTTTACCCTGCAGACTTTCCACAACTTTTTGTTGACTTGAGTAATCTCCCTTCTTTATCCAGCTGACTGTCCCATCTGCTCCAACTGTTCACATCTTTATCCTGCNTACTCCACCATCTGCTTCAGCTNTTCACACCCATTTCTCTGTTTGATTGGCTCGAGATGCCACGTCACCAAGTTGACTTTTCTTTATTCTTCCCAGCTTTATGCTTGAGTTGCCCTGCAGACTTCCCACAGCTTCTTGTTGACTTGAGTGGCCTCCCTTCTTTATCCAGCAGACTGTCCCATCTGCTCCAACTGTTCACATCTTTATCNTGCNGACTCCACCATCTGCTTCAGCTGTTCACACCCATTTCTCTGTTTGATTGGCTCGAGATGCCACGTCACCAAGTTGACTTTTCCTTATGCTTCCCAGCTTTATGCTTGAGCTGAGTGACTCTATGGTTCATATCACAGCTTTTCATCTTTGTTGAGTGACTCAAGCATAACCTGTTGAACATGTTCTCTCAACTTCCTATGTTTTTCCAACAAAATTCTTGTGGATGTTCCTTTTACGGCTTGCCTCCCATCACTCCAATATCTTAGGCTTTATTTTGTGGTGTATAAAGTTGAAGATTCTCATGTTAGGCTTTTATTGAGTTATCCTATACTCAAATATTTGGGCGTGAAAAGACATCATAAGGACAAACTGACAAAGTTCAATAGAAAAGTGTTGTTTTTGGAATATTTATATTATGATTCTCTAGAATTAGAAGTACACAATGGATCTTTGGTTATAGATTTTCCCCGGCTTTAAAGAGATTCTTGATTAGAGACTTTTCCGGAGACTTTTGCTCGATTGAGAACAACTTTCGCTTTGATAAGGCGGTAATCCTTGTTTTTGGCTATCCTGATAACACGTTTATGAGATCTCTTTCCTCAACCACGTATCTTGAATTACTTTTGAGCGTTCCAACGGTATGTAGTGTTTTTTAATTATGGGAGGTAAATTGGAGAGCAAGCCTCCAATATTG